AAACTTGTGATTGGCACAAGCAATGAGCTCTGCTCCCTGCCCGTCTGCAGCAACATGTGGCCCCAAATCACCTTTTTCTGCCCGGCCCTGACTGTCCCTGCAGCTCCTGGCACCCTGCAGCAAGCTGCCCCCCAGCCCTGGCTCCCTACCCACACACAGTCCCTTGTGGCCTGCCAGACTAAGGCAGCCCCAGTGGCCCCCCCAGGCCTGTTCCCCAGGGCAGCAGTGGCTCGGGGAAATCCTGGGGAGGGCTGCTCAGGGCAGGTGCAGGAAACCCAGACCTGGGTGGGTGCCTCTCTGCAGGGGCACAGGGTACTGGGGCAGGCGGGTGCTGCAGTAAGGAGGAGACGGAGCCACAGCTACAGCAGCACACATTTATGGGGTCTGGCCTGGCGCGTTGCGGGTAACAGGACGCAGCGACATGCTGGGCACAGAGATCACGTAAGCTATGGGGGGAGCTGGGCCCCACAGGGCTGGTTCTGCCTTGGTCCAGCTCAGTGCCGGAACTGTGGCACCGGGGAGGGGATGCGGATGTCCTGCCCCTTCTCCAGCCGCCGCTCACAGTCAATCAGGTAGTTCACACCGTCTATCACCAGCTGCACCAGCTCCACCTGCACCAGGAGCACAGATGTCCTGACTCAGGGGCTGTCCTGGGAGCCATGCCAGCAAGGCACCCAGCTGGCCCCATCGTGTGAAGGGCAGGAGCTGCCACCCCGCCACCCCCAGTCCCCACATGCTGGTCCCAGCACACGGCCCTGGAGCTGTTTGGATACCGCGGGCCTGTCATGCACACACACTTGAGAACCTCCCTCCCCGAAAGCAGCTCTGCCCAGCACTCACCTCTGACTTCCCCAGCCGGTCCAGGTTGGAGATGTCGAAGATGCTGCCAGTAGCTGCAGTGTCCACACCACCTGTCCCACGCTTCTGTAGCCGGAGGTTCTCCAGGATCTTAGGGAAGCGGCTATCCTGGTGCCCAGAGAAGATGTCAGTGTTCAGTGGGACCATCAGCAAGGGAGTCAGGGCTCTGCAGCTGACTGCTCCCTGGGGCAGCCCTCCCGCTGCTCACAGGACCCCGTCAGTAGGCACATAATCCCCGCAGGGAGCCCTGCTCCAAGCAGACCCAGGTTGACACCTGGGTCCCCGGCCCCTTCAGCCACAGATGCAGGCGTGGGCTGGACCATATGCTCTGCTTCCTGGGGGAACCTGAGCGATGTCCAGGGTCAGGTCCCATGCAGTCCTCCACCTCCTGTGCACCTCCCTGCGCCCCAGCAGCTGGGGCTCCCTGCAGCCCTGGCCTGGCTCCCCACAAATCCGGCCACAGTAATACCTTGCTGAGCAGTGGCAGCTTGATGTGGACGCCTGCTCGCAGCCCAGTGCCCAGGTTGGAGGGGCAGGTCAGGATGTAACCCAGCCGCTCATTCCACATGAACTCCCAGCCTCGCTCCTGGATTAGCCGCTCCACCTGGGTTAGAGGCACAAGCAGCCGTTCAGTCCCCGGCCGTGGGGTGCCCAGGCCTCAGCATGGCAGCACCCCCCCACCTCAGCTGAGTGCAGGGGGCCAGCCCCACAGCAGCCTTGCTTGCTCATCCGCCAATCTGCCTGTCCACAGGGCTGGCGCAGCAGGGGCTGGCGGGCGCTCACCTCCTTCAGGCCCCGACAGAACCGCTCGAAGACGCGCTTCATGTTGCCACCCTTCTCCATGGAGATGATACGTGTGTGGTCCTCCTCGTTGATCCAGATCAGGAAGGTCTTCTCGTTGTTGTGCCTAGGGACAGGGCTGTGTTTGGCTGTGCTGGCAGCCAGCAGAGCCCCTGTGCCCACCCAACCACCTCTGCTAGCCCTGGCCATGCCCCTTCTGCCTCTGTGAGGACAGTGCCAGTGCTGCCCCAGGGTCCTGGTGCTCTGCCTGCACCCGTGGCTGGGAGCGCATTGCCGGAGCACAGCCTGGCTGCAAGGCAGACAGCCAGGAGGTGCTCCCGGAGACGGGCCAGTGTTCACCCACACACACCACTGCAGGTGATGGGTACTGGTTCTGGTGCCGTGGGTGCAGGCAAGCACTTCTGGGGAGGAGCAGTGTGGTGCGAGCATGACGGCGACCCTGCCTGGACTGGGGACAGGACCCTGGCTCCTGCACCGTGCAGGCAGTGGGAGAGGGCTGTGAGGTGTGGGGTGCACATTGGGATGCTGGGTTAGGGGGCGGCTGAAGCTGTGAAGCTGGTTTCCATGAGGCTGCTGTAAAGGCGCTGTGCCAGTGAGGGTGGTGTGGGCGAGTGCGTGTGCTGGCTGTCACTCTGCAGGCGTGTGGGATGCTGTGTGGGATGTTGCATGGCTGTGCAGAAATGCTGGGAGGGAGCATAAAGATGCAGTTGTGGCAGGGAAAGTTTGAGGGCAGGTAGAGCGTGCAGAGAGCCAGGAGGAGCACTGGGGATTGCCCGGGGAGCAGAAGGCAATTACAGATTTTTGGCAGCCTGGAGTGCACGGTGCTGCAGGATGGTGAGAGCGGACAGGACTGACAGCAGGGGCTGACTCCAAAGTCCCACTTGTAGGACACTGTGGCTTGTGTATGGAGCGGCTGGCTGCTGACTGCAGTGCACAAGGTGCTCCCAGGTCATGCATGAGCAGAGAGAGCCCAGCTCTGTGTGGCCACAGAGTGCAGGGCGAGCACGGCCCAGGGGTGCTGGTGCCGCATGTGCTGGGTCTGCGGTTTGGCGAGCATGAGGAACGCAGGTGGTGGAGCTGAGGCAGCTGGACAGAGCAGCAGTGTCCCCCGCCTTTCTGCCCTGCTGTCAGGTGCTGCGGCAGATCCTCACCAGATCCCTCGTGCGTCGGGCCAGTCCCGGGCCATTCCTGTCAGGAGTGGGGACACTGGCTTGTCGAAGAGGAAGTGGTCCTGGAGGGAGGCAGAATGCAAGGGCTTGCTGGGGCTGCACAGCTGGTGCCAGGGCACCCTGTCGTGCTGGTCCTAGCCTGCCATGCAGGCGGTGCACCATGGCTGTCCCAGGCAGGGCAAGCTCGCCTGCAGTCCACGCCTGTGGGCAGGAGTCCCTGCCTTCCCGGCCAGGGAGGCAGAAAGCTGCTGATGTACAGCCCACTCTGTACCAGGGGTTGGCAGGGCACCAGCTGTGTGCCATGAGCCTGCCTGCCCCTGGGTATGGGCAGGGACAGGGGGTGAGAGCCAGAGGGGGCCATGAGCTGCTGAGGCTGTGTTCAGCAAGCTCCATCCTCCCCTGGCTTGGGAGGGCTGAGCGGCCCCACGAGAGCCCTCTGCGCTGCGGGATGGTCTCACCAGGGAAGGGTGTCCTGATCCCACAGGGCAGCAGGGCTGGGAAAGGAGGATACGGCCTCCTGGAGAGGCAATGCCAGAGAAGAGGTCCTGCTCTGTGGGCACCCAGGGATGCTGGTAGGGAGCTGCATCAACTCACATCGATGAGCTGCTGTTGCTCCTTCTCCGTCATCTCGCCAAGGCGGTAGTAGCGGCCTGCCAGGTCTCCGGTGAGGCCGTTCAGTGCCTCCACGGCCACCTTCTCCACCTCTCGCCGCTCAGCACGGGTGCAGGCTGGTGGCAGGCTCAGCCCGCGGATGCTGCGCCCAGTCCGGACCCGGGACGAGAGCACATAGCGTTCATCAAAGTGGCCAAATTTTATCTGGAACAGACATAAGCCATGGGCCGCTTGAGGGGCAGCACTGGTGCTGGCAGAGCCTCTGTCCCCCATGGCCCGGGGAAGAGCCCCCATGCGCAGCACCGCTGCCCGGCTTGTGCACCTTGGTAGCATCCAGGTCTGTGACATGCTTCATGGTGCGGGGGTTGTATCCGTTGTGCCGCTCCTGAATCACGGGGTCAAACAGGTCAGCAAACACCTGGAAGCAAGCAGGATGATGTATAGCGCTGCAGACCCAGCACCCCATGAAGCCCCTGCCACAAGCTCAGCACAGTCCTGCTGCCAGTGGGGGGGACATGGCAGCTGGGAGGCTGCAAAGGCTGGCTGGGGCCACGGTGGGTCCTGCAATGCAATGGCAATTCATGGGCCAATGCTGCCCGGGCAAGTGGGGCTCAGGGGCAAGGAGGAAGAGGGTGCAGGCTTCTAGGAACAGCTGATCTGAAGGAGCCCTGTGTCCCACAGGGACACGCTGGGGCTGGCAAAGGGGCTTTTCCAGCTGCCCAGGCTGAGTAGGAGGAGGTGGGCAGTAACATCCCAGGCTGCTGGATGTACCACAGGTACTGGGACTCTGCTGGCTACTGCAGGCACCCTGGACAGTCTGGAGCATGGCAGGGCTCCATCTGCCACTCACCTCGTAGGTTTCTTCATCGCCAGCTACCATGCCCACAGTCTTGATGAAGGGGTGGCCAGGATTGTCGACACCTGTCTGGATGCACTGGTCCAAGGTCCAGCCATTTGGGGTTGTTTTGTCACAGAGCCTGGCATAGATGGCTGGCGTCAGGTTGCTGGCCATGCAGTTGTTGTGCTTCCGCAGGTCGGGGTACTCAGCGCTGTGGGAGGAGAGACCAATGAGTCCTTCGGAGCCAGGGGACCCCAGCGCCCATGCCCTTGCCCCACAGAGACCCTCAGGGCAGGTGTGGGCAGGGGAGTTGTGGGAAGGGAGGTCAAGCTGCTCTACTTGTCCACGCCAGCAAAGGCCAGCCGGGAGCGGGAAGGCAGGCACTGGCATCGCACAGCAAGGGCAGTGCTGAGCGCTGACATTGCCACAAGGACAAGAGTCCACGAGCAAATCTGGACCGGTTGTTAGGGTGCGGCTCCTTATCAGCTGCGTACCAGGGCCCCGGGGTCGGGAGAGCTTGCTGGGTGAGCAGCAGTGGCCACGTCAGCTGCAGCTCCGT